CCCCAAAACCCCAAAACCCCAAAACCCCAAAACCCCAAAACCCCGAACAATTGGAATTTCGTTGATTTTTATCATAAATAATATTAATGGATAGATCCCATCTAGATTCCAGAGAACAGAATGATCCGTTACTTGGTCAAGAAGCCTTTGATGCTAAAAGTGGGTTTGATCATCCCGATTCTATCTTTAAGAAGCATCCATACACTAACGCAGGACTCTTGTCAAGAATCTTCTTCAGTTGGCCATTTAAAGTATTACAGGTAAACTTTGTGTAATTATATCAGTTTGGAAAGAAAAATCATCTGAAGCCAGAAAATCTTGGAGAAGTTTATCCCAATTTTTCCTCAGAAATGCAAAACAAAAGGCTATCTGATAATTGGGAAAAGTATAAACATAGCAAGAAGATGCCTCTCTTGAAAGCCATCTTAGCAACCTACAAAAAGGAATTCATGGTTGCTTTTCTACTCAATCTGATTGTAGTCTGAGTAAAAATTTCAATACCTTTTCTGATTATCAGAATCATAGATTACATGTCAGCAACTTCTTCTGAAGAAGGTGGTGGAATAGCACTCGGAATTGGTCTTATTGCTGCATACATCACCCTTACTGCTCTATCATTCTTAATCAATGAACACTCAGCCTTCTTGCAAACAATCTTAGCCGATAAGGCTTACTGAGGACTAATCTGCTTGATCTATAGTAAGATTCTAAAAGTTAGCCCATCTTCAAACAAGAACTTTGAACAAGGAGAGATTATCAACTTCATCCAAGTTGATTCAATGAAAATTAGAGCTCTATCGTGGAGCGCTCCTCCTGTAGCTAGGCTTCCAATCCAGCTCATCTTCGGAATAACCTTCCTGTTCTACTACTTCGGATGGTTGTTACTCCCAGCATTGGGAATAGGCTGCATCTTAATTGTTGTCAACTTCTTCCTCAGTCTTTATCTTGCCAAGTTAGAAAAAGCAGTACTCCAAAGAATCGATGAGAGAATGAATGCTTCCACAGAGGCTATTAACAACATCAAAATACTCAAGCTAAATTCTTGGGTGGATTACTTCTTAGATAAAGTCTCTAGACTTAGAGTTAAAGAGCTAAATGCTATTAACAAAAGGTGGTTGTTTAGAGCATTCCAGATTGCCATTTCTTTTCTGATGTCCCCCACCTTCATGATTTCAACCTTTACTATATTTTTCTTGACTGGGCACACAATGGTGCTATCAACTGCCTTTGCAGCAAGACATGTATTCTACACCATTGATGAGCCGATGCATTGGATCCCACAGTTCATAGCAACCTTCACAGAATTTATTGTCTCAATGAAGAGAATCCAAAAGTTCCTTTTCTGTGACGAGATCAACCATAAGTTGGTAGAATCAGAAAATGATTATTGTAAAGAAAACAACATTGGCATTCTGATACAGAAGTCTAGCTTTAGCTGGGCAGGAAGCCAATCCGAGAAAAGTAAAGACAAGACAGAAGAGAAAAAGAGCGGAGAGCGCGATGAAAAGTAAAAATTTCTATCTTAAAAATTAACCACTAAGAATTAACCTCATTAATTTTAGATCTAAACAAGTATCCAAAAGAGTGTACACTATAAATGAAGAGTATCAAACATTAGATGACGAGGATACAGAATGAAAAGTAGATCAATTACACGAAGAAGAAAGTATCATCTCAGTTGTTTCTTCAGGAGAGCAGACATTGATCAACTCTATCGAACTCAAGGACATTAACCTCCAAATCAATCAAGGAGAGTTTGTCTGCATCATTGGCCAGGTCGGATCTGGCAAATCTTCCTTGCTTAGCGCCATCCTTGGTGACATGCTATACCTCAGCGATGAAACTATTCAGGCTTACCAACATAGAGCCTTAGATGATGGACTCAGGCGAGAACTTCACGAAGCCCAGCAGCGAGAAGCCTCTGTGATCAGACTCGGAGGTTCTGTAAGCTATGTGCAGCAAGTGCCTTGGATCCAGAACAAAACTATCCGAGACAACATTCTGTTTGGAAAGAGAATGGATGAGCAACGATACAACCAAGTCATCGAGATGTGTGAGCTTGGGCCTGACCTTGGACTGTTTCCAGGAGGAGACCTCACTGAGATAGGTGAGAAAGGCATCAATCTAAGTGGAGGCCAGAAAGCCAGAGTAAGTCTGGCTAGAGCCATCTACGCTGACAATGACATCATGCTGATGGACGACCCTGTGAGTGCTCTAGACGCCAATGTCAAGCGCAAACTCAAGGCTGTGTTTACGACAGAACTCAGCCACAAAACTCGGGTGCTGGTGACTCACGCTGTAGACTTCATTGACTGTGTAGACAGGATCATTGTGATGGAGGCAGGGAGGATAAAGTATGACGGAACATATGAAGAGTTGCAGCATCACGAAGAGATCAAGCACATTATAGAGGTTTTAGCTCATCAGGCTCATAATGAAGATTCTGACGAAGAAGAAGAATCCAAAGAAGATAATTCTGATGCAATTCAGGAAATTTCAAATACATCTTATATTAGTGATGAAGGAACAAGAATTACAGATGAAGAAAACAAAGAAGTAATATCTGTTGGATGGGGAGTTTATAAGCAATTCTTCTTACAAAGTCAGATTTGGATTGTATATCTTTCTACTTTTCCTCTGTTGGCAGTATATGCATATTTCTTAGCTAGATTAAGCATAGTGTTTGGATATTGGATAAAAGAAAGCGAAGAAGAGCCTCATTATCATAATTACCCATATGTATTGCTTTATCCATTTGGGTATTCACTTATCTTAATGTTCATTTTCATTATCATGACAAGAGGATTCACACGTGCAGGTAGATTTCTTCATGAAAAAATGTTCAGAAGAGTTCTCAGTGCTCCCATCAATATCTATTTTGACAAAACTCCTACTGGAGTTATTTTGAATAGATTCTCCAAAGACATCAATCTGATTGACAATGAGATTTCGAGGTAAAAATTTCTTATAACTCATAGAAAACTCTTATGGACGACAGAATCCTTTGTTGCTTTTGGATACAACCTTCTTGTGGCCATCTTCGCCATGCCTTGGGTGATCTGAGTTCTTCCCTTCGTTGCACTTATCTGTGGAATTCTAACAAAATTCTATATGAAAACTTATAGAGAACTGAATAGAATGAATAGAGTCACTCATTCTCCAATTCTATCTCAGCTGTCTGAAACCTTATCAGGATCATCGACCATCAGGAGTTTCTCGAAGAGTGAGTATTTCATCGGCCAGAACTTCCAAAAGATCAACAAAAACATCAACACCGGGTTTTGGAGTAACTCCATTAGGAGGTGGTTCTCTGTCAGAGTTGAATTCACTTCTAGAATCATCATAATCACAGCAATGGTTCTAATGGTAAGTTCTAAGTCAGTGATCTATAGATCTACCTTAGAGATGTTGTAAACCCAGTCCTGCTAGGGGCATTTCTTGTGCATATGATGAGGATGAACAATGAGCTTATTTGGAGTTTACAGTTCCTCACAGAATTTGAGTCAAGATTAGTGTCGTTTGAAAGATGCATCAAAATTCTAGAAATTCCTCAAGAGGCTTCAGATAGCTTTGATAGCGAAGCTCCTAAGGATTGGCCAAGGTTAGGTGAAATTGCATTCAATAATTTCAGCTTGAAGTATAGACCGAATACTCCAATAGTTCTAAATAACCTCACCTTTCATATTAATGATGGAGAGAAAATTGGGGTAGTCGGAAGAACAGGTGCTGGAAAGTCAACTCTCTGTCTTGCCCTCTGAAGAATTGTTGAAGCATATGAAGGTTCTATCAATATTGATGGCAAAAACATCTCAAAGGTTGATCTTAAACATCTCAGAAGCAAGATTACTATCATTCCTCAGGAGCCTACTCTTTTCAATGAGTCATTGAGATTCAACCTCGATCCAGAGAATTTATATTCTGACGAACAATTACTGAGCCTCATGAGAAGTGCCTCGCTAGATAAACTTATTGAAAGAGATAATAAAGGTCTAGATCAGTACATTGAAGAAGGTGGCAAGAACCTCAGCTCAGGAGAAAAGCAACTCCTCTGCATTTGTAGAGCTGTTTTAAAGAAAAATAAGGTTGTACTCATGGATGAGGCAACAGCTAACATTGACATTAAAACCGAGCAAGCCATCCAGAAGCTTATCAAAGAAGAATTCAAAGAAGCAACAGTGATTACTATTGCTCATAGATTAAACACCATAATGGAGAGTGATAAAATCCTGGTACTTAGCCAGGGAGAACTTGTAGAATTTGATTCTCCAGAAAGCCTCCTCAGAAATCCATCATCCATGTTCAAATCTTATGTAGATTCATTTAAGAAGAGTGATTAAGACTTGTTTCCAATATGCCTAATCTACCCCGGGGTTTTGGGGTTTTGGGGTTTTGGGGTTTTGGGG